GTGCACACTATGTGAGGGGTAAGCCTCCCCATGGGTCTGGGAGGGGTGGGGTGAAGGGAAGGTGGAGACTTGACCCAGCAGTGTCAGTCTTAATTGTTGTGGTGGTTGGACCCAATATGCTGAGTCTGGGGCTACAAGCTGGTACAGGGACAGTGTACTGTATCATACCAGGCATGCAACTATGCCCCCCAGCCCTGGAAACCCCATACCTCAGATACTGATGGTATGGTAAGATCTCTTTCCTTGCTCCTCTCCTTGAAGGTATGTTAGTGAGCTCATGAAACAAACTGACACTTCCAAAATGGTGTTTGGGGTCACTTACTGCCATCATAGCTATACCAAAGCTATTGGAACAGGGGTTGGCAACTCTTTGCACATGTTGGAGCATACCACATGAGGCCATTTTGTTCAGCATGCCACACCTAGCCTGGGCTCTAGGCAGTGTTGCCAGCAATGAAGCCTAGGCTGTTTGCAGTAGGTGGCAGGGAGGTTGCAAGCCCTACTGTGAGCAGCTTTGGTTCTGTCAGGCAGCATCTGCCTGGAGCCCAGGCTGGATGTGGCAGGCAGCTGTAAACCCGCAAACAACAACAAGGTGCCATGAGGGTGATTGTCCTATGCCAGAGCACCATTAGGTTAGGCCAGGCCAACCCACACTACCAGCCCCAGCTGTTGCTCCCACTGTTGGAAGCCAGGCCACTGCCATGTAGTAGCATAAATCTTGGCTGCAGCTTTTGTCTCCACAGCCTGGGGGGTCCTAGTGGGGTCTGCACTGCCCATATATGTTCAGCCAGTGGCCCCTTCTCCACTGCAGGCTGGCATCCTACCTGTGCTCTTCCCCCTTCCCAGCTGTGCTGCCACAGGTATGCCTGCAGCTGCTGCTAACAGTGACTGGGGCTCTAGACTCTGCAGCTGCTTGGGAACCTGGCCCAAGCTGCTCCCTGGGCCTGCTCAGAGCCCAGGCTGCTCACAGCAGTCAGTCCAAAAACATTGCCGACCCCTACACTACAACAAGCACAGATTCCTAGATCCTAGTGAATATTAACTGCAGTCAACTAACTTTGGGCAAAGGCACACAAATATTGCACAACAGCATGTCAATACATTGTATCTCTGTCAGTACATACATTTTAAGGTCTGTTGGAGTAATATAGTCCCTAGTAGCCTCTTGCAAGTTGGCCTTCCAAAAATTTCCAAAGCTAATGGACAAACTTAATGTGCTCAGCTATAATGTATGACTTAAAAGTAACAATGTGACTGAAACTAACTTTCCTGAACAGACTTTGAGAGTTTTGAAGTTCCTGAAGAACACAGACTAAGTGACATGTCCCTGACTGGTGTACCTCTTATGGTATTTGAAGAAAAGTCCTCTGACAGACTTGTAAACTTGGTCCCATCACCTATGAAGCTGTCTCCAATTTCATGGGAGTGTGGTAAGTGAGGACTTGTCTAGGTTTTGGTGTCCACAGTGTCTCTGTGAAAAGAAGAGGGATGTGCACAGAGCCCTGACTCGAATGACTGGGATGCTATATTACTGGAGTGGGCTTTTTTTTAATTTTTTCCTGACTTGACTGTTCCTGAGATGTGGCCAAGCCAATAAAAGGAATCCTGAAAATGATATGCAGCATCTTACTAAATCTATAGGTACTAAGCACTTCTAGTGATTTTTTTTTTTTTTTTTTTT